GTAATCCTTGGCTTGTACCATGAGTGAGGATAAATGAGGGAACACTGGCTAAAATACACACTGCCTGGGAAGCAAACCTGGGGTGACTTCAGAGCAGTGTCAGAGCCACATAACCTGACACAAACACGTCTCTCCCTCTTGGTGGCAAAAGCATGGAATGGTGCAACTTCCCAAGGAGCCTTAGTGCCTGCTGCTGGGTACAGCCCCAGGAGTGCCTCTGGAATTCAGCTTGGGCTGCGCCATCCTGGGTCTTCCACAATGGCTCCTCTCCCTCTTGGGCTGCCTGCCAGTCACCCCTTGGGACTGACTGGACTTGGGGTTGCACATGAGTTGAGCACTTGGGGTTTGGGTTTGGGGCTCTCTCCAGCTTGCTTGAGAGAATCTCAGTTTAATTAAGGTATAGTGCCTTGAATAAAAATTATTGACTGCATTCCAAACCTGGTTTATGACTTCTACGGTAGCTTTAGTGAGATGGATAAAGTACCTTAATGCTGATCATGCTGCTCAGCCCCTCTCTTCAGATGGGAGCTTGGGAGCGCATTGCATCACTCAGCTCTGGGCATTTATTGTTCTCTTAAAAGACTGAAGGTCCAAGTGCAGTGTCACAGCTCTGCAGCAAAGGTCGTGTTTTCCTTCTCACGAAGAAGCAGGGGGTCCAGCTGGAACATATATGGCTCCAGGGTGTGTGGTGACATCCACAAAAGTAGATAAAAATGAAATAATTATTCTTTCATTTACATTTTAAGGGCCTCTGAGGATTATAAATCCGTACACTGCAAACAAAACTTTCCCTGGATCAAGATCAGCAAATTTTCTAATTAAACGTGATCACCTTTTTAAACTGAATTTGGATGACTTCTTAGTGGGCTTTTAGCTTCTGCATTTTTTCTCCGTTTGTGGCAGGAGAATCAAATTGATTTTAATTTTGATAATCTTATTCCATTCTGGATTGTAAATTGCTTGTGTTGACATGGGAACAAATGCCTGGGTTATTTCTTATGAAAATCTGCTTATGAAAAACACTATGAAAGCATTTTAGAGCAAACCATTGGAAAGCACCCATTGATCTCAAATAGTTGTGATACAGACATTTAATTCAGGATTATTTTAGAATGGCGTAAAGGTACTGATCTTCTGAAGAAGAACTCTGTGGAGATTCCTCCCTGTGCAGTGGGCAGGTGAACAGCTACAATGGACATCAGCTGCTTACCCAGAGTGATTTGGCATGGGTGCTCTTCTCCAGTCAAGAATTGCTAAAAAGATTTCAGGAAATGAGTTGTGGAGACAGGAGTCATTGTCATTAAATATGGGCTTCTAATTTTGCTGCAGATCATGGCCTAATAATGATTTCTGATCTCAAACCTCAGTGTGCCATAAAGCCTTCACAGGTGACCGTCCCTCTTTGAACCATGGAGATGGTACCTAACCCCAAGATGTGGCTTCAAAGTATTGAAATAAAACTCAGCTCTGGCAGTAAGTGCATCCCTCTATCCAGAAAAATTTTCCTTCCCAGAGGATGAGACCCATCCGCTGTGGTGGCAGGGATGGCTGGAGAGCCAGGCTTGATGGCAGAGCTCCGCTGGTAAAAGCAGAAGCTGCACAGGAGCAAAGCTTGACTCTGCTTGTTACATGGAAGGAAAGATTCACTTCCTTGGGCGTGTTCCTGGCATGGGCACAGCCTCTGGTTTAGTGGTTTAATATTCTCACTCCCCCTCCTCTGAAACCTAGGAAGAATTACAGCCTCGTAATTCAGGCAGCTCTTATTTATGCAGTTTCCAATACAGAAAGAACCTCATTCAAGAGCTGTCATTAAAAAACACCCCACCCTTTTTTGTTTCAGTGTTTATGACAGTCTGGACTATCTACTTACCAAAGTGTCCAGGGTTCAAGTGAAATATCCCACTCCCATAAATCTCACACACCTCATGGGTACTGTAAAATCAACTGCGCTGGCAATGTCACATGGTAATTTCCCAAGCAGGTAGGGAGTTTTCAGCACCAAAATTTGGGAATATGGGTGAATACAGATGAGAGGAGATGTGGGTGTGTGCTGAGGAGTGGTGGCTTGCAGATGGCTGACCCACAATATAGGGCAGCGTGCGTGTGCACTCTGCGTGCTCTGCACGGGACATATGCTCTGGGGTTTCACGGATGAATTTGTAGTCTCCAGCAATTTGCAGCTTCCACCCTGGTTTCAAATATCTACATCATTTTCAGGCTGATGATTTTTCCCAGTCATTTATCCCGAAAGCACTTCGTCCTGCTTAATCTGGGTCATAATTGACATGGGACTTGTGCCGAAGCAGACACGGCCGTAAGTTGTGTTTGAGTGGGCTGTTAATGGCAGGGATTTAGTTACGTGCAGTAAAACACAGCAGAGGTTGAAATAAGTATAAATGTTAAAATATCAGATAAATGCAGGGTCACAGTCACGACTTGGACCCAGAAAAGACTCTTGAACACTTGACATGCTCCTGCTGTCAGCTCACAGCTGCCTTTGGCTCTAACGGAGGCGTGAAGTTGGAAATTTCGGGTAAGGAAGCTGTTGGAATTGGATAGTGTTTATTGCAAATCAACAGGATGTCTTTGCAGCTATAAAAGACATATGGAAAAGTCCACTGTTATTGTTGTACTTTGTTGTGTCTCCAGATGTTTTCCCTCCTGCCCCGCTCCAGAGGCTGAAAGTGGGAAATGGTTTTTCATTGTTTCTAGCTGATGGTGCCAACATCTGCCTTGACGTTTCCCTGGGGAATGATATCAGCACTGCTGAGAGTTTCAGATTCATCACTTGTGTCTCATTTGACTTTTTTTTTTTTCTTTTATATACAAGATAATGTCAGAGCATGAAGATTCAGCCCTGCTCAGTTATTTTGAGGGGTGATAAGAAATCAAGGGAAACACTTGGGTGGTTGCTGGACTATCACAGCAGCACTTCAGAGCCTCCTTATTTTTGAAAAGCTGCAAATGAGGCATTAAAACATTGCTCTGAGCTGATGTTTTTCATTGAAAGAAATAGTATTTGTGAGCTCAAACATACTTGAGGATCTCAAGATGCTTAAAATAGCTGTGTTTTCTTAACATACATTTAATCCATCATTAGTTCCCAGTGCTTTACTCTGAGGGGAAGGGAACCAAATGAATATCTTCATTTGGAAGTGCTCTTTGCTGGTCATGTTTGCTTATAATGGTATTGTAAAGACTTAATACCATAGGTTAGAACCTAACTGGTTGATCAACTTAATAAGTATGTAAATTAGCAAAGTTGGCCAAAGTGCTGACTGTTAATGAAAGTGCTTTTAATAGAAATGCAAAACAAAATAGAATTTTCTCCCCAAAGCTTCTGTACTTCCTCTTACCAATAAACAGCTGTACAGTATCAGATTATATTAATCTCCATATACTAATAAAATTATTATATCAATGATACTATTTTTTTAGTGCTTTAAAGTAGGAATGAACTCTGGAGAAAGTTTGGGCCAGAATTCTCAAGTGTAGACTTAGACTAGTTCCTGACTTTTGATTCCTTTATATCAGACTGTGGTTTCTGGTTCATTCTTTTACATCAGCTGGAAGAATCTGACCAGAGCCCTTAGGTAGCAATAGTGTAAATTCTATCAGTGTCTGTCCACGTTTAGGGAAGGTTTCTTTTGAGAAATCTGTTGGGTCCAAGAAACTGAAAATTGTGTAATATCTCACTGTTCTGCCTGCTTCTTTGTGCTTTGGCTGTTGTTTGTTTGGTTGCAGTTATTTACAGCACACTCCTGGGTTTTTTTTGAGATCCTAGCAAAAAATTCCACAGGCAGCTGCAAAATATATGTTTAATCAATTTTAGGAAGACTGATTCCCTAACTAACATTTTTCTTCCAGCTGAGACACAGTAAAAACTGTTCTGCAGGGCGGGGGGAGTTTTCCTGACAAAGATGTCTTTTTTGTGGATTGTTGTGGTGCCATAGTCATGTGGTTCTGGTAATTTAGGTACGTTGGTGTCATGGTTGAACCTCAGCTGATAACAAAACACCATGCAGGGAAGAGAAGTGGAAGGGTAAAAGTGAAAGTTCTTGTGGGTTGAGATAAAAATAGTTTAATAGTTTAAATACTACTACTATTACTTCCGTTGTAATGAAAATAAAATAGCAGAAAAACGAGAGAACTAAAACCCAAGCATTTTTATTAAGAAACATATTTTTGCCTGTTTTTAAGCTTCTCAGGGTGAACCTGCCAGAGCAGCCTTTGTCAGTTATGTTGTTTCTGTGTATGTTTATATGCAAAAAGAATAGAACCAGGAGTTTTAAAGCATCAGTATTCTATAGACAAACAATACAATTTGGTATTTGGTTTTCCACGTTTCAAGTGTTACTAGTGTAAATATTGCTTAGAGGAGTCATTTTATAAGGAAATAGTAGCATGTTTCTCTTAGAGTTTTGTCTGCAAAACATAGAATTCTCCTGTGTATTGGGATTAAAACTACTTGTGCAGATCATAAGTTTTCACAGAATTCACAGAATTCACACAGAATTCAGAGAATGACCAGGTTGTAAGAGACCTTCAAGATCATTGAGTCCAATTCAGCCCCAACACCTCAACTAAACCCTGGCCCCAATTGCCACATCCAGGCTTTGTTAAACACACCCAGGGATGGTGACTGCACCACCTCCCCAGGCAGCCATTCCAGGACTTTATCACCCTTTATCACTTTTTCCTAATATCCAACCTGTCTTTCCCTTGATGCAGCTTGAGACTTTCAGATCCACGAGCTGTGATTCAGGTTTGTCTCTTACTTCTGTAAAAACCTAGTTTGTGTGCTGGAGGTTTTGTATGGCAGCAGTTCCACTGCGAATTCCTTTGGGGTAGCGAGGCCAAAAGGTTTTATCAAGGGAGCATTTCCTTCTAATTCCACTGAAATGTGTGGAGTTAGACCTGATTTGCCACTTGGTTGTGTTCCTTCAGGTGTTTCTCTTTGCCCTCCTGTGAGTATCCTCATGTCCATGCTGTCTTTGCAGGTCAGGATCGCAGCGAAGCCACTTTGATAAAGAGGTTCAAAGGTGACGGTGTCCGCTACAAGGCCAAGCTGATCGGGATCGATGAGGTTTCTGCTGCCCGAGGGGACAAGTTATGCCAGGACTCCATGATGAAGCTCAAGGTGCAGTGAAACTTTTCAGTGTTACAGTCAAATGGAGTAAAATTCGGCTTGAACTTGCACTCATTCTCCTTTCATGACGCTGAGCCTTAGTCTGGTTAATTATGTATCGAAATCAGTCAATTTTGTATGAACTCCTGCCTGGTATTGCTTATCCTGGTTTAATTTTAATACATTATCTCTGAGTTCTGTAGTTACTCTGTGATTGACACCACTGCAATTTGTCCACAAATTACAAACAACACACTGCAAATTGAATAATTTTATTATGCAAAAGGGGAAGTAAATGACTGTGGAGGAAAATGGGATATCAGAGCATTTTCTATGACATTTCTAATCAACTACAGCACTGCCTCTGGCTGTTACCTCCTGTGAGTGACGGGTGTAGGCAGCCAGATTTAGGGAGAACTGGTGTCCTCCTGGGAGGAAAATGTCTTGCATCATCAGTGGAAGGGCTGATGTGTTGCAAAATGAGGCAGTGCATTGAGAGGATGGGGCATGAGAACATAAAGAGGAGTCCCTGGAGTTTTGGGCATGAAATGAAGCCGTGGCAAAGGCAGATTTGGGTGTAAGGTTGGAGTGTAGACAGTCTGAAGTACCAGTGGTGTTGAGGGTGGGCTCTTTGGAGCAGACAGACATCCCTCTATGGCCCAGTCTCTCTCAGAGCATGAGAATTGCTGTAGGAATCATTCTGTCCCTCGCCCTGGGACATGTGGAAGAGCTTGAGTCACTGGGAAGCAAGGAAGGAGAGATTGTGTTTTCCTGAGTTCACCTTTGGCTGTTCACTTCCCATCTCCCCTGTGCATTGCAGGGTTACAAACCAGGTCTAGCAGCAAACCCTCTGCTGCTTTTTCCCTTTTATTTCCCTCCCAGCTCTCTCCCCAGCCTAGAGAGCTGATGGATTTTCCTTTGCTGGTTTTTCAGGAGGAGAAATCACTAAATGATGTCTGGTGCACTGCCAGCCCACAGGGTTCCAGTCCATCCAGGAGGAATGAGTTACTCATTAGGGAAACAGCATGGGGTGACACTCAGCTTGTGGTTCAACAACCTAAAAGCAAGATCTGGGAGATAATTTACAAATCACTTTTATGGCAGGGAAAAATTAATCCGCTCCAAAAGTTGCTCTGTTGGTGTGTCACATCAGCCACAATATTCCTGCCTGATTTAAATGTGTGCTGGGTTTTCATCATTTCATAGCTCCTGGCACTGTGGGGAGAGTTGTCACTGTTCTGCTGCACAAACCTTTTTGTCTCTCTCCTCCGTGGATTAATATTTCCACATCTCCCAGGTGCCTGATACCTGTTTGCAGGTGGCAAGATTGATCTAAACAGTACTGGGAAATGACTAAGACTGTTAAAGGAAGGGAGTGTTAGAAATTCATTTTTGAGGGCAGGGCATTAATTTATGGGCTCTGGAAACCCAGTGTCCCATAACATGAATTTTGAGGCCACCCATAAAGTCTTGGGGTGGCTTTTGACGTTAGATCCTTGTAATGGCAGCAGTGAAGGTCTTAAAACTTAAGTTAGTTGTTCTTGAAACATTGGAACTGCAGAGAAGCAGATGAAGTCTAAATATTTTCATTTCAATTAGTAGTACAACTGATTATATTTTATCTCAGTTCAGTGTTACTGGTCAGGGCGGGCTCCTGAGAAGGTGGAAAGAGAAGTTACTGTTCTAATTCTGCTGTGGGAGAATAATGCATGAGATGGTATCAGCCAGTTCTCTTACAAAGTAAAGATCTGAGATCCTGAAAAAAAAAAATTACCCTCAATACCAGTTTGTCACAGCACAGGTGTGGTTTGATTTTTAGAAGAGCATTTTTCTTCTAGAAAACCCTCAAGTTGCTTATACTAGATGAGTGTGAAGCAAGCTAAATTAATTGGCATTTTCTGTCCTCTGCTGCTTGTTGGGATTTTTCCCTATTAAAAAAAAAAAAAAAAGAAATAAATAGAACAGCTTATAGCTGGGAAAAGTGTGCTAGAAATGACCTTCAGCTTCCATGAAAACAAATTTCATGGAGGATTAGCTAGTGCAGAGGTTGGAAGTGGGAGCACATTTGAAATGCTCTCTGGGTAGCATAAAGAGATGTGGTACCTTGAAAAAAGGGAGGAAGCCAGAAGTAAGGAGGGGGCTGTTCCTGGAAAACCTTTAAGTTTTCCTAGAAAAGTGGTGAATTGTCCACAAGTAAATCTGTGGCATGTGGGAGAGTGAGGAAATCAGCTAAAACTGCTCTTTTTTGCACAGGGAATTGTTGCTGCGGCTCGATCGAAAGGAGAACATAAACAAAAAGTCTTCTTAACAGTTTCCTTTGGGGGAATCAAAATCTTTGATGAAAAGACAGGGGTAAGTAAAGTTGGTTGTGTGGTGGGACAGAGCTGAATCTTCCCCTGTTTCCTTCACAAGCAATTTCCTCACTGGTGCAAACATACATGAAGCATCTCAGGAATTTGATAGAGGGTTATTGTCCCTTACATCACTTGTAGAGTGTAGCTTCTGTATTGTCAGTGGTAGAAAAATTACATTTTGTATGGAATGAGAGGTAAAAGATACTGGGAAATTTAAGTTGTCTCTGTGAAGCAGCAACTTCCCCAGTAGCATCTGGTGGAGGAACTTGCAGAGACTTTCGTGCCTTACACAGTTTCTGCCACAGCAATATCATGTTTGATTTTTTTAAATTGCTCTAAAAGAAGAAACTTAAGCAAAACATTACACCACTTGGATATAAAGCAACAACACACAAACTGTTTTAATCATAATTAAGAAGATTTTTACAGCAGTTTAAACTCTGCCTTGAATTTTAAAAAGCTCTTGATTTAATCTTTTGGAAGATTAACTATTTAACACGGTGCCAGAAATAAAACCCTACTGATGATAGATGAAATTATCTTTGCCAGTTAATTTATATTATTAGAAAATCAATGTCATTGAGCTCACTGATACATAATACGAGTAGTTAGTAATGAAAAGCTCATTTGGGATATGTTGTGTAAAGTATCCATGCAAAAGCTGTGTTTCAGAGGGCATTGCTGGGGTTACAGAAAATGGGAAATGTCAGAATTAGGGCTGTCACTGCAAATTGCACCCCAACCATGGTTGTTTTCCTGAGATTAAAGCCTTTTATTGGGGAAAATAAAAAGGGGAAAGAGAAAGTCTATTCCTTTTGCACTTGTCTCTGAATGTTTCTCAAACACTGGAATTTTTTGCCTAATAAAGAATAAAGAGGGAAAAGAGGATGTGTTTTAGAAACAAAGGTGTGCTTTATTCCAGCTGCCTCTCCTGCAGCATCCTGCACGCTCCTGTGCCGACAGAAAGTGAGGTGGGGACATGGGAACAGTCTCCTTCATTTCATAGCTCTGACATCCCACACTCTAAATCTGACATAACTATATCATCCTTACAGTAAACCTGTCACTCACCCACCGAGGCTTAGAATGAAACCCTTAAATCCACCTTGCAGATGTCTGCCCCTGAGCTGCCCGAGTGATGGACAGGACTATTGAGTTGTCCTTCTGGCAGCAGGGCTGTCACTGAGGCATGTGGGGAGCTTTCCACAGCAGTTTTTACATGTTGTTGTCAGAGCAGGAGAGTCGTGCTTCCCATGCCAAGGGTTTGGAGCAGAGGTGCACGAAATCCTCTGCCAGGTCTTCACAGCAACCATCCCTTGGGCTTTTTTCCCAGCTTGGGTCTCTCCTTGTCCAAGAGTTTCACACCCTTGTCCCATTCATTCTTTGTCTTTCTCATCCAGCCTGTCTCTGCTTTGCCAGCCTGCAGTTGTCATCTCATTCCCATTCCTGCTGGAAAATCCCAAAAGTTGGCAAAACTAGGGGTTGTACGGTTGCTCAGCCCAGGTTTTTGGATGGGAAGAAGCTGTAAAGAGCTGGAAAAAGATTATATTTCACTCACACTGATCTTCTAATTTCCATGTTAAACTTCAGAGTTTATAAAGTTTGGAGTTTGATGTTGACTTTTATGCAGCAAGGAGAAAAGCAGCCCTTAATAGGGAAGAGTCTGGATAATCTTGCATTTGCTTTCTCCTCCTTTAACAACCTTCCCTGTCCCCCACAATGCTTTTTCCCTTAGCTGTATTTCCGTCATTTCAGAATTCCCAAAAGGGTATTTTGGAAAGATTATTTACCTCTGTAGAGTGTCTTTTCGTGACTTCTACCATTGTCTATTGCTGTCACGTCTGCCCCAGCACCAGTCCGATGTGATAGAAAAGAATAAAAATATTCAGAAAAAAAAAGTGAGCTTCTTCATGTTGAGTGTCTTGTAGGCTGCCATTGGATTTTAATTTATCACAATAAAAAATCAATTTGTAGCTCAAAACTAGCAAATTTTTTTTTAAAATTGGCAGTGTCATAGCTGACTTCATATAGATGATTTAGGGGAATTGCTCCGTAATTCGTTACAGATGAAGGGCTCTGGTTGGGTTACTACTGAAAATGATAAGCAGGTTTTTTTCTTCCTCTACTTTATAGCTCTCCTTAATATGTTCCAGACATAATATTCATCAAAAAGTATTGATTTTAATAATGGTATTATTCCAGCCATCAGGAATTCTGCCCTTTGAGTAAATTTATCCATGAAGGAGATTGAGTTGAAGGTGGAATATCATTTGGAAAGAATATATCTCACCAAGAAAAATACAAGAATTATTTTGCTGCAAGTTTGACCTGTAGATGCAGTACAATATGGTTCATCTACAGCACTGCAATAGAAATAATAACAATCCTTTATTATATTCCATCATTCCATGCCAGGGATTACACGAAAGAGGTCCCTTCATTCCACTTTCCAAGTACTTGTCAGTGTATTTAGAACATGATAGCAAAAATTTGTATTTAATATGACTAACAGGATGTACTCCTGTTGTGTGTATGCCAAAAATTGTCATTACTCATGGAGTTTGACCCTATTAATCTTATAAATGCACCTTTTTTTTCAGCTGTCAGATGTTTTCCATCCATCCCATTTGCTTTCTCCAGATTATGTTTGCTAAATACATGCCTTACCTGAGGGATACGCATTTTCTTTTAGTTTTTACTGTAAAAAGCCTTACCATAATTATTGCTGAACACAAGACTTTCTCTACCCAATGCCACTTGAAAGATTTCCTTGCTGCATATTACATGAAAATAGTTGTTTTTTTTTACCGTTTATTCTGTCACATCCATCTTGGTTAGACCTCAATACTGCAATATAGTCTTAATTTATTTTATGGGAGCTCCTTTATATTTTCAAAAGCATGACCTTCAGATGGCAAAAATACAATTAATTACATTATGTTATTTAATATTCTCCCTTTCTGGGTGGAATGTAGTGATTGGTGATTTGCTAAGAAAGCAACAAAAGCCATGACTGTGCATATGGAAGGAAATGCAGATTTTGTGGAGGCCCAGCGTTGTTGTTGAGCTGTTGCTGAGTGTTGTTTTGTTAATCACACCCATCAGGCCATCTCCCTGTGATAGCTCAGTGATGCTTCATTAGACGTGTGTGACTAATCTGGGCTCTGTAAAGAGCCTGTAATTGTCTCATTGTTTATTTATGTGGCCATAAATCTCTGTTTACTTGCAGGTTGCTTTCCAAAAATGTGTTTGAAACTAATAATTAAATCCTCTGAAATGCTTGGGAAAAGATTTCCTTCCACCTCCATGCAGTGAGGTGTGCTTTTAAACTCTTGTTCTCTCTAATTGCAAAACGCTGTCGACTTCAATGGCAAGCCCCTAAACTGTGAAAAAGAAATGAGATAAAAGCAAGAAATTACTATTTGGCTCTAAGCAACGAATTATTTCTGTTAAAGTAAATTTTTTGTATTAGCTTGTGGATGTGCAGATTGCCAGAATATGCTGTAAAATATAGCTCTCTATGAGGTATTGTATAGCTAAATTATTTATCTGGATTCCTCCACTGGCCAAGAAGCAGGGTACATCAGTGTCAGTATCTTGCTTATTTATGGGAAATACCCTAAACAGCTGGATTGTAACCCAGCTGATGAAGATGATGGTCATCTCACCAATTGTTACCTATTTTGTAGCACCCTGAAAGTGAGTTTCGTTTGCATTGCCTATTCTCTTTCAGAGATGTTGACCCCTGTTCTTATTGAAATAAAGCTCAGTCTGTGGGGTTGTAACATTTCTAGGAAAGCTCTGGTGGGGTTTTGGTATTTACTGCACAGAAGTATTGCTGTGTGTTACTCATATTTCATTAATTTAATCTGCAGCCATTTTCTTCAGGCTGGCAGTGTAAAACCCAGGAAGGAAAACCATGTGTATAAATACATTTATTTCATGTTGACTATCTGTTCTTATTATCTATCAGCTCCTCCAACCTTTATTGTCTTTGCTGAGGATTTTATTTTATTATCTTTGAGGGTTTACCTGCCTGAAGTGGTGTTACTCAGTGCCCTATTCCATGTAAGGGCAACCAGCCCTTACCTGTAGCATTCTATAAAAAAAAAATAACTTGTTTCCACAGAATTGGTGATGGTGCTTCTGCTTTAAATCTTAATGACATCCAAATAAATAATACACGTGGTGGGAGGTTATAATCCTGTTGTCCTCAGAGTGTTCTGTTTAACTGAGATCATGTCATGGCTCTGAAATGTTCCAACCAATGTTTTAGATGCCAGCATCTTGCCCATCTTGCTGAACTTCTAAGCTCTCTCAACCTTACAGTGCAGATTTCTCAAGCTGCTTCTCTAAAAGCATTTTCTAACATATTCTGAGGCTTTATCAGGTTTGTGGTGCTAACCCCTGGATTTGCTGCTCTTCCCTATGCAATGTGAGTGATGGTGTTAATTATGCTGATAGATTGCTAACAGGACAGCTCAACTTGGCTGAAAGAGAATTTTAGCAAGATTAAAATTCTCACTGTTGGCAAAAGAGGCCTCATTTAAAATATACCAAAGGTTCTTCTTGACTTTGCTGGAAATCTGTTGGTTCTGGCATCCCTGACCAGAAATCGAGGTACGATCATGGATCTGCAGTTATTCCTTGAAGCACATGTGCTGGAGCAGATGAAATGTCAAACTGTCAGAGTCTCTTTCGCTCAGTGTCTCTGAGGCTTTAAAAATAGAAATAAAAGAAGGAATTAATTTATTCTGCTCTCTCCTCGCTCCGCAGTGAGCAGGAGAGATGGGGTGAGGAGTTCACTGAGTTTTGTGTTTGCCAGAGGGTGGGATTGGCCAGGAGGATGCTGGTGGTCCCTGCCTGGGGCTCCCGCGGTGGGTTTTGTCCCTTTCATGTCTTTGAAACTTCCCAAAGTTCCTCTCTCTGGCTCATCTCAGGTGCAGCCCTCTGTGAGCATCTTACCCCGTCAGCTGATCCCACACAAAGTGCTCTCTG